ATCTTGTGCTTAAAAAGGTTGGTGACCCCTGCTTTACGGGGACCAAACACCAGGTGCTCAAGTGTTCTTCTAAAGCAGGGGAGAAAACCACCACGAGGACCAGGGTGGGGAGCTAAAGCCAGAAGAATTCAAGTACAAAATGAGACAGTTTTTAACACTAAGAGCGATTAACCCCCTGGAACGAGCGATCATTAATGTCTCTCTGACCCATTCATCATACAAACCTCCCCTTTATTCGTGCTGTGTTGTCCTCTCCCATGTGACGTGTACAGCTCCAAGCACCTGGCAGCAGGCATGGGGGTGGGAGTCTCGCTCTATCCCATTCCCATCTAAAACATTCCCAGTTAGTTGCCACTAAAACAGCAGCATTGTGGCTTGGCCAGGAAGAGGGTAAATGATTATAAGTGGCACTCCGGGATACGAAGGAGTCCCTACTCAGCTCACATGGATGGCTGGGAAGACGGATCCAATGGAGGCGTTGCCATCAGCCACCTTGCGTGGCCCCGCTTTGAATGCAGTGCAGAATTTACCACCTCTGATGGCCACACTTGACTAAGGATAAAGGCCGATTAACCTGGGGATAGGCAGCCGGCTGGGGAGAGTCAAGGCTGATAAGGTTTAACAGACGTGAGAGCCCAGCTGGGCAGGGACAGCCTCTGTAAAACCATAAAGTGGAGCGTGAGAAGGGGGTTGCAGGAAGGAACTCAGCAGAGAAGGGGAGTTGGTGAAGGGGAGCGCAACCCCGGGGGTCTTGCCTTGGACCATCAACTCTGGTGCCGAAGGATGAAACAGCCACAGAGAGCAGAAGGCTCCCGAGGGGCAGCCCGAGGGCGAAGATACACAGGAAAAGTAGGAAGCAGCTCAGAAAACAGCATGCCTCCTGCCGGGTGTTTGGGAACTGTACGCATGCCACACAGGAAGGGACAACGCGACACGAATAAACAGGAGGTTTCCATTGTGACTAGATCCACTGGGTTAGAGAGACATTGGTGGGTGTTACCCTGCAAACAATGTGCAACTGAAGAGCTGTTACTTTGTTTCTCCCAGCACCCAGCTCTGTAAGAAACTTGCTGTAAACACAAAGGCTACGTCTAGACTGGCAGGATTTTCCGCAACGGAAAAGTTTTTCCGTTAAAAGCATTTGCGGAAAAGAGCGTCTAGATTGGCACGGATGCTTTTCCACAAAAGCACTTTTTGCAGAAAAGCGTCTGTGCCAATCTAGACGCGGTTTTGCACACGAAAGCCCCGATCGCCATTTTCACCATCGGGACTTTTTAGCGCAAAACAGTTTTTAGCTGTCTACACTGGCCCTCGTGCGCAAAAACAAGGGGGCTTTTTCCCCAAACGGGAACGTCAAAGCATTTGCGCAAGAAGCACTGATTTCGGACAGTAGAACGTCAGTGCTTTTGCGCAAAAGCAAGCGGCCAGTGTAGACAGCTGGCAAGTTTTTGTGCAAAAGCAAGTGCTTTTGCAGAAAAACTTGCCAGTCTAGACACAGCCAAAGGCTTTTTAAAATGTATTAAAACTTTCTCTTTGGGCCTCTTCTCTCCAAACATGCAGAGACCCAGCTGACCTCTTGCCATGAGGGTCTTTTACCTTGTGTTTGCTGCTCTCTTGCTGCTCTCCCTGGCCACCGGCGCGAAGCTGAAAGCGCATCAGACGAACATGGATCCCGATACGGATTAGGGTAAAATGATCTACTCCAGACCAAATGGCCCTTACCCTGAGGGTACTGCCCATGTGTCTTCAGCAAGTGAACCAGATCTGCGCTCCCCAGTGCTCTGTTAGGAATCGGGGGGGCCCTACCCATTCAGTCCCATAGTCCTGTGATCTGTGCACGTGTGTGGCTCTAGCATCCAAAAGGCTTTAGCCTTGGTTCTGTCTCGATACATGTCAGGATCTAGCGACCTTCTGAAGCAGAGGTAATTGCAGAAGTGAGGGTGTATTGCAAACAATACAGCTCGATATGACGGTGGGCGTGTCAGTATTTGTTTTGCAGGTCGTTTTTCTAACGTGGATTTGGGAAATGGGCCGTTTCCCCTTTAAGAATAGGATGAGTCAGGCTTACACCCTATCCAGGGCTGACTCATACATTAAGCACAGTGCCTAGGGCCCACGATACTTTTAGGGGCCCACAGAAAGTGTTTTAATTTCTTTTAAAATCAGAAGGAAAAAAATGAACGTTTAGGGTCGAAGAAAATGTTTTCATTTTTTTCTCACGTCAGAAAAAAAACGAAACTTTTAGGGCTCACGAAAATCTATTCAATTTTGCTTAAAACAGAAAAAAAATGTTGAAGTATTTAAAGTTATATCAAAAATAATTATTATATTTTTTTTTAATGGAGGAAGGGGCCCACGAAGGCAAACGTGCCTAGGGCCCACGAAAATCAGAATGCGGCCCTGACCCTATCTGAAGCTGAAAGCAGCCTGGGTGAGATTCCAGGGCTGGGTCCAGAAAGAAGAAGAAAACCCTGCTTGTGTGGGCAAACACATGGTCGGAATTTCATTAACCAAACCTCTTTGCAGGAAGCAACCCCCCTTCAGAACGGTGCCATGTTAATGCTTGTGGAGGCTTGGCTACCCCGGGGGATTGTTATACAGCCCCATGGTGACCAGTCTGAATCCAGCCCCGCTCTGCAGGAATTTTAAGGAGCTGCCATTGAACGGAGAGCCCCTGTGCATCATGAGTTTGGCACGTCTCAGCTCCCAAGTTACAGTCCCATTGCTCTTCTTTGTGCTGGACCGTGAGCTCTTTGGGGTGCAGGTGTTTTTACCTGTGCCTGGCGCAACCGGGACCTGGATCTCAGGCAGGCTTGCCAGCAAGACACGCTTCAGCAGGGGCCACATTGCTTTGAAATGACAGACGGTGGCCGCTTCGATTGTCGCCCACACTCTGGGAGTGGACAGGGAAGTTCAAAAATCAGAAGCCCGAAAAAAACCAAGCCAAAGAAAACTCCACTCACTGGCCTTTAAAAGGCCCCCATGACTGTTGGATCCGTCCCAGGTGTTTTGGAGACCTTCCTCTTGGCTTCTTCACTCTCGTGCTTGGCAGTGCGGGGCCGAGCACGTTGGACAGTGCAGGAGCCGGGAATCTCGTCAGAGCCTGGCCAGTCCCCCCCCCCCTCCATTTGGGATTTATTTTGGTGACACGGCTGTGCCGGAGAGTCAGCTGAGAACAGGGGCCACGTGGCCGTTTCAGTCCATTTCAGTGTTTAATTATGAAGGTGCTCGGCTAAGCCAGGAGACGCTCTCCAGAAACAATCCAGTGAGTTGAATGTCTTTAGTTTAAAGCCCGTCAGGTCGCAGTGGTTCCTGGGTAACGTACACGCCTCCACTCTGAGGTTTTTCATGGTGATGGGGTGGGAGGCACAGAACCTGCTTCGGCAGCTCAGGGCTCTGCTGGTCTTCGTGCCCCTCCCTCGGAGCTAGCACCCCAGGCTCACCTCACAGGAGCGGCCGGGAGATGGTCCCCGCTATGCCAGGGTCGCCTGCTGCAAATACGCTTCCCAGCCCCTTTACCAGCAGGCAGGCCCGGCCTTAGGGCAAGGCACTTGCCTTGGGCCCCGCGCCTTCGGGCCAAATCCAAGCGCGAGGGGCTGTGGCAGGAGCTGG